AAGATGGATAAAGAAACAGGTCTATGCACACAACAGAGAATCAGTCATTTAAAATAGTGAAATTAATCACTTCTAAGGAGTTAGATAGAACTGGAGATCATTATGTTAAGTCACATAAATCAAACTCAGAAAGACAAACACTATCTGCTTTATCTTATATGTGTAATCTATTTTACAGGTATGAAAGTTGACAGGATGCTATTTAGGAAGAGAGAGTAGACAGGCAAGAAGAATGAAAGGTGACGAAAGAGGGTAATGAGAGGGTGAATGTGATCGAAGCACATTATATACAGATGTGATTTTTAAAGTAGCAACTAAAACAAATTTAAAATACAGTGAGCAGAAACTTTTAAGCTATAATGTATACTTTCAAAGGGAAGCTTTTGCATTAGCATTAGAAATCATTTCAACATTATTTTCTTTTATTAAATTGTATTAAAAATTAATTGGATATCTTATTTAATGTAAGATTAAAGTATAGTCCTCCTTTAGTAAAGTCACATCTACTTACCCAGCTGTCTTGAGTTAAATGTTCACGGTAATGACTGAAATGATAGCCATCAAACATACCCAGTAAAAACTCTTTTGGTTCTGTTGAATTTCTTGGAATATTTAATCATTCAGTGAAGTTTTCCTAATGAATACTCTAAAATGCACATTGGAAGTTATGATATTTCCTCCTGCTATTAATAATCATTTTAATGAGGTTTTCCTTTCAAAGATGTTTTACAGTTCATACTGTATGTTTATAATGATCTGATGGTGTAGGTAGAAGCCACTACTCTTCATTGACTGACACTTAAAGGTTGAGGGTCCTCAGGTTCAGTAATGGTTCACAGAGAAAGTGACTCGGGATCTTAATGCTTTCATGACAGTAACAAAGTTCTCACATACAATTTAAAGGACCTTGCCACAAATGACATTGTCAACAAGAAGATACACATAAGGAACACTCAGGGGTTTGATTGTAATGGCAAGTAAATGGATGGGCTTTAAAGATAAATGATCCAACACGAGAATACAGATAAGAAGCCAGGCCAGATCCTTTTCCTCAGGGATACTGAATCAGAGGAAGAATGGAGGTCAAACAGGTTGCTCATTTGAACCTTAATTCAGGGTCCCATATTTTTTGCTAATTAGGACATTCCAGGAAATTTTCATTTGAACCTAGTCTCATGATCTAAGTTTAGAAAAGCAGTTCAATGAAAAAGCAAAGCAAAAACTGTGTTATGTATTAAAGTGTCTTTTGATTTTCCCCAATCAGCTATGCACTGGAAAAGAAAGGAAAGGGAAAAGGAAAAAAATACTTATTGCTCAAGTTAGATATGAGCAAAAACAGGAAATTTCATCTTATAAATTAGATAAGGAAAGATTTCTTCTCATATCAACATACATAATGACCTTCTGTCATTTGGGTTAACATTTACATTGCCTAAGATAAACTCTCACCCTAATGTCTTTCCCTAACTAACACATGACACAGTGCACACTGAAGCAAATCTAAGTTCAGAAAGAATATTCTGTGCCTTTACATTACAAGAGAACTTCAGGCTTCCTAAACAAACTTTACTTTGTTGCTATGCAACCGACATGCTACACAGCGCATCAGACAGAAAATAAATTAGTAATTTTACAATGAAGAGAAAATGTCTTTTCTCTCTGTTTAAGAACAAAACCACAACTTCCTTTCATGCTATCCTCATTCACCACAACCCTCTAAAACTGTTTCACAAACACTAATGTTTTGGCAAGATAAACAAGCAAATGAATAACACAGCAGTGACACAGATACCATTTGCAAACTGCACGCTAAGAAACATCAGTACCCTACTATTCATTCAAACAAGGCTGGAAATCCAAGTTTTCATGCCTGGTAGGCATAAGGAAGTTGTTTTTTTTCACACCTACATTCTTCTTCCAGGTAGCAGAATATAGGCAAGTTTAGGCAAAAATGATTCTGGCAATTTCAGCACTCACCCAACACTTCTACAGAGCTCAGGCATGGTTCGATTGAATGGCATAGACTGATTTGGAACATGAGGAATAGAAACATCTGTGAGTACATGATGTTTGGGAGAGTGGGAACTTTGTGGTTCATAAACCAGATGTAGGCCCCATCTTGTTTAACATGATCTGTTCAATGTTCAAACTGTAAGAAATTACCAACACTTAAAAATCTTTACAAGCAAGTATAGATAGATATCCTTCTGGAAAGAGTCATAAAAATAAAAATTATATTTTCATGAAAATCAGAAGATACTTCTTGACAGAAAAAAAGGAAGAAGAAAAAATGGAAATAACCCAAACATTTAATGATTATAGAAGAGATAAGTTGATTGTGGCATCCTTCTACAGTGGGTCACTACAGAACAATGCACTGAACTAATAGCTTCTGATGCATTTGGTAACATGAATAGATTTATGCAGCTTAAGCAGAGAAAGCCAAGAACCAAACCATATATTAATTGTTCCAAGTTCAAGGCTCCTCAACACCATTGGCAATGGAAGTAGACTTCTAAAGGAGCAGATACTTTGGGAGATGATGGAGGTATTCTTCCATCATATTGTACATAATTGTACAATGTAAAATTTGTCCAACTATATACCCAGTCCCAATCATTTTGCAATCTTACTATATGAATTTTGTATCTCAATAAAAAATAAAATACAAAGAAAGAATCAATTACCAAAGAGCAGCTGGCAATTTGGGGTGGGTCATGAACTCTACCTTTAGCCCTATACCCAACAGCTGGTTTATTCAGCTGGCTGAATTAGAATCTCTGTGTGTGGGACTACACAATATCTTTTAATGGCCTTCTAGGTATTTCTGGTACACATAAAGTTTGAGAAACACTACTCTTGTGCATAAAGTATATAACATAGCATACAAAAACTGAAGGCAGACTAATTAGACCATCCATTTTTCATTGCTCCCTCATCCAACATATTTCTAGAAATTTGGTGAGGAGATAAAAATCCCATGCTACCCCATTGATATGTGTAATGTTTATGTTTATGCATAGGATTACAGATAAATTTAATTCAGGATAGGAAAACTCAGTTGACTTACTCAAAGAACTGATGTAAAGTTTAAGGAATAAGACTCATGAGAAGAATTGTATCATCAACACATCCTCTTCCTGTTTCAAAGATTAGATACCCTGGGTTTTAGTGTTGTCACCACTGTCAAATTACCCACAAAAAGTTAAATGAGACAACCGTACAGCTTTCTGATTATGGAAAAGTTATCAAACATAAAGCTCTTAGATGTATTCCAATTCTGCATTCAAGGAGGTGGCACCAGGAACTCGTGACAATGATAAGAAATTCATCTATGAAACCTGGTTTTCTTCTTGTTCAATGGAAAAATTTGTATGAACCACCTTTTGTGGATCTCTGTTCTCAGGATAGGAGACTATCATAGGAAATCATCTCCCCAAACATTATTCATTGAAATTTATCATCTTCAAGCAACTATACCCTAAGTCAATAATTAAAAAGATGCTTTGCTACCAACAAAAGTATTTACAAACCAGAATGCAGAATCAAGGTAACTATATAACTACACTCTGATTACTACTAAAAGAAAAAGTATAAAATAATAACAGAATATGACAATAGTATTTCCTGTATGTATTTGGAGGGGGAAAGGAATAACTGTTTTTATTTTATCAGAATAATTCTTTAAAAAATCAGACTTAGATATAATTTCAGAAATAACATCTCTGTTTGTATCCATGTGATGATGTAAGAATGCCCTGAAATTATTTGTTTGTTTGTTTTATTTTGGGTCTGGTTGTGGACCTGAACTATGAGCCTGGACGATGCCCCTCAGCTCTTCACCTCAAGGCTAGCGCTCTACCACTTGAGCCACAGCGCCACTTTCAGCTTGTTTTTGTTTTTTTTTTTTTTTGCTTATGGGTGCTGAGGAATCGAACCCAGGGCCTCAAGCATGCAAGGCAAGCGCTTTACCATTGAGCCACCTTTCTAGCCCAATGCCCTGAAATTTAGTGATGGGAAGGTGGAAATAAGGGAAACAGACCTGTAAAACAATAAAATATAATAATAACACAATGTAAAATCAGACTTTTTGGTTTGTCGATGGTTTCACTCAATACTTACAATGGCTGAACAATAAATGATGGAAATGGTTAGGAATCAGCTTAAAATTGCTTTACCTATGAAGTATACCTCTTATTTGTCAAATACTGAGTATAGAAATAAATCTAAACATCCTCTGATCAGGTACATAGGATTGCCAGCAACAAAGGTACCAGGGCATCCTTACTAGTGGAGCATGTCCTGGGAGCTTGATACCTAGAATTGTGCATTGCCCCTTCTTCTGTTCCTCTATCACATTCTAGGAATAAGTTCTTAGCTGCTGGCTTTGCTACCCTACTTAGTAATGGCTCACCTCCATTCTGGGCATGGACACAGGATTGGTCAAAACAAGGCACAGGACAGTGAACTCAGAAAGCTGAGAATAGATACACTTTCTCTGTTGGATGGTATGCACTCAAACATGACATTAATTGGCAAAAGAAAGAAGGAAAGAAAGGAAAAGAAATAGAGAAAGAAAGAAAAAAGAAAGAAAGAAAGAAAGAAAGAAAGAAAGAAAGAAAGAAAGAAAGAAAGAAAGAAAGAAAGAAAGAAAGAAAGAAAGAAAGAAACAAAGAAAGAAACAAAGAAAGAAAGAAAGAAAGTCAGAAAGAAAGGCAAAAAGAGAGAGAGGGAGGAAGGGAAGGAAGGAGGGAGGGAGGGAGGAAGGGAAGGGAAGGAAGGAAGGAAGGAAGGAAGGAAGGAAGGAAGGAAGGAAGGAAGGAAGGAAGGAAGGAAGGAAGGAAGAAAGGAAGGAAGGAAGGAAAGAAGGGACACTATGACCAATTAAAAGAAGGATTGGGGAAAAAAAGAAGAAAGTGTCCTCATTCTTGTTTTCTGCGATCTTTACATAATATGTAGTTGGCATGGAATGACTTTAAATAAAGATGGAGCAAAACAAATAGACCAGATACACTTTATTTAAAAAAAAAAAAAGTGCCGTATTTTGATTAAGAGATACTCTACAACACATGACAGTGTATCCAGACACTAAATATAGAGCTGAAAATCTACATTTAAAGAAATAGTTCAGGGTGTTGACAAAAACAAAAACTAAACCAGTTTAGTATCTAAAGAATCACACATTTCTCCTCTATTTCAATCCTACCCAGTGCTACCTTCGGTGTTGTGAGTCCAAATCTCATGTTTCTCTAAGCATTTCCAACATTTCCAACCGGAGCTTGCAATTTAAGAACCAGTGTAGTATACTAAGATTATTTAAACACAATGCAACTTCATAAACAGTGAGATCATTATCTTCTACCTCAATGTTCACTACCTCAAATTTTACCAAAAGTATACCTTTTGTTTCCCCAGCACTTTCGCCTGCCAGAGGATGACGTTGTCTAAACACATTTTCAAATGTTTTCTTTTGTAACAGTTAATATATTTCCAGGATGCAAGTCCATTTCTTTCTAAAAGGTTCCTAGGACTCCCATTGAAAAGTCAAAAGCAATGAGCTAAAAGGGATCACTTTTTTTTTGTTGGAGAAGAACGACACCCTTTGTGTTGAAGTGGGGAATTACAGGCTGTGGTCGCCTTCTGCACAGTGTCTCTTTGTCAAGTAATACATGCTGAAAAAAAAATAATACAGATGGGAAAATATTGTGCACTGTCAGATCTTGGAAACAGCCAAAGGATTTTTCCGCACCAATGTCTTGTCGATGACTTTCACATTCTGGCACCCTGAAAAAAAAATAATGCATACATTTAATATGAAATGAATGCAATAATAATCAGGCAGGTAATCGTTTTCCCAAGGAATGTAAAACTTGACAAATGTAAGGTTTATGATTCAAGGTAGGCTTGCCAAATCTTATGTGGCATGAGACCATTTTTATTACCTAAACAGTCCTTAACACAAAATGACTGGCACATATTTTTATTAACACAAAGAGTGTATTCTTTCTGCCACATTTAATAGAGAGCTAGTGGCTGAAAGCTCCCTTTTAGGATATGTCTGTAGCAAATGAAAATGTGTAGTGAGGATTCACAGAATGGCATTCTTCTTATGTAGACTCTGACAGGACTGTGAGCATAGCAGTGAGTAGACAATTTATCTTAGGAGTTCTATCAGGACAATCTGGATTATTCGGTCATAGAAAAGAATTCCTATTCACCACCAAATATGGAAGAGTGAACAATTTGCTCAAGGCCATTTTTTTGGCAGCTGGAAGTCCATTTGGAATCAAATAGTAGTAATGATGACACTTTTTTTTCAACCAAAATATATTGTTTATGTGCCAGGTACTGTTCTAAAAATTAAAAATATGGCAATGATGACAAAAGACAGAGATCTCTGCTTCACGTTGGCTACAGTCTAAAGGGAAAACAGATAACATATAATTCATAGAATTAGAATGTTAATTATATGACAGATTCTATATAGCAAGTGATAGGTACTAAAGAAAAGGAAGAGAACAATGGAAGTTGAGTGGACGGGTGAAGGATAGATTGCTCCAGAGCAGTCAGGTAGGATCCTTTGCTAATTTGTACAATTTACCAGAAAGCATAAGGAAGTCGTTCATTTGGTTAACTGGGGGAGAGACATCCAGGAAGGGTGAATAGCCAATGTAATAGATTCAAAATTAAAATACTTCTGACAAAATCACAGATTACCAAGGAGACAAATGTGGCCTGGAGGGATTACCCAAGGATGAAAGAGTAAGACATGTTATCAGAAAGGGTTAAACGTCATAAGGTCTTGTAAACCACTGTAAGGACTTTGATACTTACTTGGAATAAATCAGGAGCCATTGGAAAGCTCTGATCAGAACAATAACAGGGGCCAACAGTGCTTTAAGTGACCATTCTGCTTGCAGTGACAGGAGAGTGGTAAACAAACAAAGCCAGGCCTCTTATACCCAAAGCAAGAGAGGGGATGATGAAGTCAGCCATGTTGGTGGCAGTGGGTCATCACTGATTATATTATGATAAACACATCCTAATATTATAGTCATACTCTGATTATATTCATATTCTGATTATGCTCTAATAATAAAAGCTCTATAGCTGTGAGAGTAAGGAGAAAAAGAAAGAGAAGACTCAAGAATGACTGGAGATTTTCCACCTGAGCAATTGAAACTGTGGTATGAACATATCCTGAACCTGGAGAGGTTGCACATTGAGCAGGTAGAGTGGAGAGATTTAGCAGCCTAGTGTTGTACTGGTAGAGATTGGCCTGGTGCTTCACCAGTTAGATATATGCACTTATAAGAAAGAGCATGACTAGTTGCAAGGCAGTCAGAAAAATATCGCTCATGAAAATGTCAAAAATCGACATTAAGAAGCTGCCCCCAATTATGAATGCTATAGAACCTCACAGTTCAGAGGTGCTCTGTGCTGAGTTGTAAGTATGAAGTCAACTTCAAATCCATGCCATCCTCTTTCCCCTCACCCACTTTTCTCCCCAAAGAAACCTGGCTTAAAGAAACAGAAGTAAAGAAAGCTATGCGTGAGCGTGAGAGCCTTACCACTCAGAGCCATGGCCAGACGAAATTCTTCTTTGAGTATCTCAAGGACATCTTGGACACCTTTCTCCCCCTAAACATTTAAGTAATTCAAAATATATTGGATTAATTAGTATATCTACTATCATGCATTTATTTCTCTGTGAAAGCATTGTTTCATAAAATGACGTCTTTGTCTAGTTACCTGGAAAGCCAAGCCCCATATGATGGGTCTCCCCACAAACACAGCCTTGGCACCGAGGGCCAATGCTTTCAGAACATCAGTGCCTTTCCTCACACCCCCATCCAGGAAAACTTCCACCTTTCCTTCCACAGCCTCCACAACTTCTGTCAGAGCATCAATCTGTGGAGAGAAGATCTTGATAGTGTGACATAATTCATGTTGAAGTGTTGTTATTATTCATTATTAGTATCAGTAAGTAGTGGTATAAAAGGGTTTCAATTCAACAAACCAGTTTATAAATACAGTACGTCTTAGCTAGCAAGATCCATAGAAAGCCCACAGATTGGGAAAAGATCTTCACTAGCCATATAACAGACAAGGGTCTCATATCTAAAATATACCTGGAACTCAAAAATTAAATCCCCAACAACAAATCCTCAAAGAAACAACTGCCCAATAAATAAGTGGGCTAAAGACTTAAAGAGAAATTTCTCTGAAGAGGAAATAAGAATGGCCAATACACACATGAAGAAATGCTCAACCTCTCTAGCCATAAAAGAAATGCATATCAAAACAACATTGAGATACCACCTCACCATAGTTAGAATGGCTATAATCAAGACCTCTAATAACAACAGATGCTGGAGAGGATGTGGACAGAAGGGAACCTTAGTGCATTGTTGGTGGGAGTATAAACTTGTTCAACCACTTTGGAAAATAGTATGGAGGTTCCTCAAAAGACTCCACATAGAGCTCCCTTATGACTCAGCAATCCCACTTTTGGGCATTTACCCAAATGTTCACAAACAAGACCATACTAAAGCTACCAGCACCGTAATGTTTACTGCAGCCTTATTTACCATAGCTAAGATATGGAACCAACCCAGATGCCCCTCAGTAGATGAATGGATCAAGAAAACGTGGTATATATACACAATGGAATTCTATGCCTCCATCAGAAAGAATGACATTGCCCCATTTGTTAGGAAATGGAAAGACTTGGAAAAAATTATATTAAGTGAAGTAAGCCAAGCCCAAAGAAACATAGGTCCCATGGTTTCCCTTATTTGCAATAACTAGTATATCTCTGAGTCAAGCAAAAAAGGTCAGATAAGTTGATGTTAGGGAAATGAACCCTAAGATATGTATTCAAATGTTTTTTTTTCTTTCATGCGATTGTTACTAACACATTTATAAGATGATTTCTTTGTTGCTTTGTATGTCCCTCCCCCACGGCATAACCCCTGCTTTCACTGTATTTTATGTTGTTATAATTTGTGGAGGGGAAGGGAAAAAACAAATCGTTAACTAGGGATACAGGTGGACCCATTGCAACAATGAGATGTACAAGTCATTATGTTGAAAACGAACTTTACAATTTTGGTGGGGTGAGGAGGAGGATTGGGTGGGGAGGGGCGGGGAGAGGATGGGAAGGGATGGGAAGGGGAAACAAAGGAGGAGGCTACAATGCTTGATAAGAAATGTACTCTTTATCTTGCCCATGTAATGGTAACCCCTCTGTACAGTATTTTCACAATAAAAAAAAAATACAGTGCGTCTTGTCATGTCATCCTTTCACCATTCTTCTCCATCTTTCCCAAGCTCCATAGTTTTTTGTTGTTGTTGGTGGTGGTGTTAATTATTGTTAGCACTTTTTACTTATTGCAAAATCAGTCGCTGAAATTCGCAGAAGTAGTTATATATAAAAGCGCAAACATAACTAGTTATGAAAAATGCCATCTGTCTTTGATTTCTCTATCTACTATGCTTTTTATACAGATATACATTAGAAACTTCTCTATGAAACATTTTCCTTCCTCTTAAAGGAACATGATCATATGTAACATGAAGGTTTTGACTTGCCATGAATGATGGGCTTAGTGAATACAGAATCCTCACAGAGAATAACCTGGTAGTTTGTGTTATTCTTCCCCATTTGTAAAACATCTTTAAATTCATTTTCTTCAACTTCATAGCTTTCCCCATAGAAGAGAGAGAATAAATTTGCCCAGTCCTTGACTTTGACTTTGGCTATACAATATATATTGGTCAATAATATGCATGTAGATGTGTCAAAGGGCCATTTCTGAGTAGCACCCATTCACCCTTATTTATTTTACTCTACTTGATCTCGTACCTCTGCCATGTGTCATGTGGTGAACCACCCCTGGGCCATGCATGTTCCCCTCACTAGTTGGACCCCAAGGAAACTAGGAAGTAGATCTACATCAAGTTAAGTCCGTCTGGATCTGAAGCATGTAGCCCATACAGCTAGCTGATCCCAAGCCTGTATCAATAGAGCTCTGTTAGTACAAAGTTTCAAAGGAATAAATGTCCACTTAAAATCACAGAGTTTGGAATTTCATTTTACAACATCGTGTGGCAATATCTAATTGATGAAACTGACTGCTTTGTTCTAAATCTTCTTCTTTGAGAATTAAAACCATTCCTGTAGATAACAAAAATCTATAGAAATGACCCACATTCACCCCAAAAATGTTTAAATCTAAAATGAAATCCAGACTCCATTTAAGATGTATGCTGTGAACCTATCTTACCCTGAACTGTACTTTTTCCAGAAATAATTGTGCTGAAATCACTCAAAGGCTTTCCTACTTCTCCCTTAAAATTTTAGTGGGTAAACTTAAATAGGGTTTTATGTAAAAGGCTAAAAACCAAACACAGCTACAGATTTGGAGGAAGTAAAGGCAACACTTGGCATGTGGCCCTTAAATGTCTGGCAGGTAATGCGATTTTCCCCTTTTCTTTTTGGCTTTTCTGCCTTACCAAACATACTTTGGATCCATTTACATAGGTCCCCTTCCCTATACATAGTCCTCCTTTTACATTCAGGCAAGTTACATCAACATATAAATGCTACAATTTCCAAGTGATGATGCAAGCCATAATTAAGCATATTTCCCCCATTTGAAACCAGAACCAAAGAAAAATATTAGCTAGCTCCAGTTCAATATGCATTTTCAAAGTCACACAAATCAAGTCTGTTTGGGTTATTCCCAATGCTTAACCTGGCCTCAAAGTAAACTAATAAGAATACTTAAAATGTGAATCTTGGGTTATAAAATGGAGCATGCATTTGTACTTCATGTGTCTGTGGATAAGGAAGTTCTTTCCAGTGCCCAGTCTTTCTAACCTTTCTTTTTCGTTCAATAGCTGAAGCTTTATAAAAACATATATAAACAATTTTGATCAGGGCAGATTGAACAAATAAATACAGGTACACAACCCATTTTGTTAAGGCCTGGTTCCTGTTTATTTTTTTCTTTTACTTCATATCCCCTCACTTATTTTCTTCACTTCTGAAATTTTAAATACAGAGCCTTAAACGACTCAAACCAAAGCAGTTGAATAGAATCAAAATCACACAAAAATCAGAGTTTCTTTTTTTAAGAGCCAAGGAGAGTAGTGTGAATAAATCCACTCCTGATTCGCTACCTCATTCATCCATCACTCTTGAGAACTTGTTCCTAAGCACACTTAGACAATCACTGGCCCACAGAGATTTAGCTCACTATTGACACGCAAATCTCACCACAGTGGTTTTCATTTCTAGCATCATTTTCTAGAAGGCCTATGGTGCACTGGAATGAGCAGAAGCTAGAGGAGCCAGGAACTGGCCATGTGCCTTGTTTTCACCAATAGAACATAGAAGTTAATCGTATATCAGTTTGAAGCCTCATTCTCTGGAGACCTGGTATGACTCTCTAGGAAACCTGCCTTCTCTTGAGAACAAGCCCATTTAATATGCAACAAGAGCCATCTCTGCTGAAATCTTCTGTTACCAGCCTGACCCAGGGCACCTACCAGCTGACCATAGGCTCCTCTATGTATGGACTACAGTATACAGAACAGATCTCAGCTTCTATTGCCAGCCTACAAAACTGCGAAAACAATAAATGGATATTGCTTTTAGCCAGCAGGTTTCAGGATGGGTTGTTACACAGCAAAAGCCAACTGATACATCAAGTATTTCTCCAATATGGAATTACATACCCTTTATTTACTTTTATCAGGGCAGAACTGGGAATATAACTCAGAGCCTTGCATCTATTAAGCAAATGTTCAACCACTGAACTAAACCTTAAGCCTCATGAAACATACTTAAGGATTCAATTTGACTCCCAACTGCTTATGAAAATAGTTTACAGTGGAAAAGAACATTTTAAGTCTGAGATAGTTTGAGTTTAGTAAGCAACAAAATAAAAAGCAAACCTGGTAGGGGAGGTGTTCTTAGGCTCCAAACTCTACAGAGAGTCTGAGAAGCTCTGCTGCTCTGGATTTTAGAAATTAATTTTGTTCTATCATATCATATGATTGGAGCCCAGGTTAGATCACATTACTGCCATGATAGTTCGAACCTTGAGATGAACTAAGCGTTTTTGGTTTGTTTATTTGTTTTTTTCCTACTGTTGTTTTGTTTTAACTCCTTTTGGATATAGCAGATGCCTGGCAGTAATTTTCAGAATAATGGATTAAGAGGAACTGAAGTGAAATTCCTGATCTAGGATGTCTAGTAATATGTATTACTCCACATTGAGGGAGCCCATGATTTGTAGAAATACATAAATCATATAGTCCCATCATTGCATTTCCTTTTTGCAATCAACACAGCACTAGGAAGAGACCTAGGAATAAAAGAAGTCTGAGCCACCTTCTGCACCCTCTCTTACCCCATCTGAAAGACAAGGGGTAAAACATTCAATCCAATGGTCCCATTTCAGTGCTTCTCCCATGACATCACATGGCCCCTGGGATCTGACTTATGATGTAACCAAACCTGCAGACAGTGAGACCTTCTGTGTATCTCATGAAAAGTTTGACACCACAACCTCCTTTGCTCACCTCAAAACCCACACAGTGAAGGGGGAAAAAACAAATCACCCTTTGCCATACACTGAGTACTTTCTCCCATTTCTCTCATCGTCGTGGGCCTTAAATTTGCTCTAAAGTATGAAGCAAAGCTCAGGCAAGTATCTCCCTTCATGTACATAGGGGAGGGTTATTGTTTTTTTAAAAAACGGTCTCTGAGACCACAACTCAAAAAGCCCTTTTAGGTAAGTTTCCATATGCCTTCAGCTAGAAGGAAAGAAACCACACCATTTAGATATTTTCCCCTTAAAATCTAGTTAGATTTGATTTCACGAGATTTATATTTTATTTTTAGAAAACAAACTTAATTTGGCCCGCACACTAAGTCTATGTCCTCATACACAAGTGAAGCATAAATCTGGGGAAAAGCCTTGAGCTGTAACCAACTTCTCCACCCTGCTCCAATGAGGGCTTCACTTTCTACCTCTTTTTTTTTTTTTTACCTGTAGACAACATTTAATATCACCTCAAATGTCATGTCTCTAGAAGCAAAGCTGAGTCGGAGAGGGCTGACAACTTCCAGGGCTATGATTTTAAATCTTTGACAGGATAAATCCTACAATGTACAGACTGGGTTGGCCACAACCATTAGTATTTCAGAGAAGAAGAAAAAATCCTGACTGCCATACATGCACCCAATATTGCCCTGCTGGCATTCATTCTGCCGTAAGACTCTCACAGATGTTCTAAGGATTTTGCTACATCAACCAGCTAGTTTTTAATGCACTAGTACTCTACTACTGCCTGGCTGCTCTATCGTTACTAAGTACGACATTCAATTTCCTGTGGTTTGAATCAATACAACAGGATCAATACAATTATTCCAGTGACAGCCAACCATGCAATAATGATGACTGAATGGTGCTGATAAAGGGGAGGGTGAGGTACATGATGATCCATGTCACAGAAAAGCTGCAGTTAGGAAACTATCTGCTACAGTTAGTAAATACATATACATATATATATACATATATACATACATGTATATATATGTTTCAAGCTTTGTTATATAATACAAATTTGCTTTACCTTTGGTAGATGAAGTGATGAAATGATAAACCATTATAGCTGAAAGGCACTAGAGAAATCATCTAACTGATGCCTCACTGATAAGGAAATCATGACTTGGAACAGACATTCATTCTCCCTTTCCAGTTCAGGGTTCCATTTTCTCTGTCATGGTCTACGGTAATTATCAAAGGTACTTAATAGTTCCTCTAGTCACATTTTGGGCCAAAATCCTCTGCTGTATACCTTCTGTTGTATACCTAATGACTCATAATACTCAAGAACCTCTCCCTTAGACAGCTTGAACACCATCACATGCCAACCCTTCCCATAACACATGTAGGCTCCTGACTGTACAACCAGGAGCCCACCTGGGAACAGGAGAAAATGCAAGATAGCTGCCACGTGACTGCCTCCTCCGTAGAAATCCCAGCCAAGTCCTCTCAAGTAAGGGAACCGTTTCAAGGCCTGCATCTTTTTTTTTTTTGGTCAGTCATGGGGCTTGAACTCTGGGATTGGGTGCTGTCCCTCAGCTCTTCAGCTCAAGGCTAGCACTCTGCCACTTGAACCACAGTGCCACTTGCTGTTTTGTGCGTGGTTTATTGGAGATAAGAGTCTCACAGACTTTCCTGCCCGGGCTAGCTTTGAACCTCGATCCTCAGATCTCAGCCTCCTGAGTAGGTAGGATTACAGGTGTGAGCCACCTGCGCCCAGCTTCAATGCCTACATCTTAATAGTTTCTGGCCACTGTTTCCAGACCAGAGATGGATGAAATCTACTTCAGACTGTGTTAGTCCACATGGCATATGATTGTTCTCTGCTTTCCTACTACTTAAGTTGTATTGGTTTCTTTGGCTCTGGGTCCTCTTGGAGCTAGTTGCTTTCTGTGACAGCTCTCAGAACTACACTTTGCAGAACAGTTTAAATTTTGTGTCTAGATTTGTCCAGACCATTGTATAAAAAACATAGCTTTCTACTGGAATCTCCCAGGTAACAAAAAAAAAAAATCCTAATACCTGTGTACCATCCATGGATGGTTAAGATTCTGATGAATTGATCGGAGATGTGGCCTGCGCAGGATGATTCCTTCAAGTACTACAGAGAGTTCAAATATTCACCTGAAGCTGGGCACTAGTGGCTCACACCTCTAATCCCACCTATTGAGGAGGCTGAGATCTGAGGAATGTGGCTCAAAGCTAGCTGGGGCAGGAAACTCTGTGAGACCTTTATCTTTGCCACCGGAAAACCAGAAGTAGTGCTGTGGTTCAAAGTGACAGAGCACTATACTTTAGTGAAAAAGCTCAGGGACAGAGTCTAGGCCCTTACTTCAAGTCCAGTAACTTCACCCCTCCCCAAAAAAATCACCTGAGGCACTATTCACCTCAACCTGAGTTGCCTATTTGCTGCTGCCTTCCTCTAAGCTAATATGTAGGCGTTCAATTTCCTTTCCTTTCCCAGTACCTTCTGTGAACTTTTTACTATGCCTCTCCCCTCATCCCCTGGAAATGACCAATTGTCCCTCCTCCCGACTTCTTGTCACATGGTGCGATTCATTACAAGATCCACCAAGACTTTAGTGATTTCCACAACTGTATGTTAGTTTATCTTCTTTTCATTCTATAGCTTGATCCTTTCCTTTATATTCTAATGTATATGATTCTTACTCATGTACCTATAATTAAATGATTGCCTTATTACTTAACAATGCTTCTTTTATAACTTTACAAATATGTACATTGGGCTAGTTAAAAATTATATTATCTAGTTATATAGTTCATCTTTGGTGACTGCACAAAACCAAACAGAGGAGAGGTAAAGACAGTCATCTTCCGATGAAATGGGAATTCCAAGGAGAAATCCCTGCACATGGAGAAACTCACAGTGGCCGGCACCCCGTCGAGTTGTCGAGCTCCATGATTAGACACCAAGATCCCATCCACACCGAGTTTAACTGCCTCCCTGGCATCATCACCTGGAAAAAGCAAAACACCATCCTATAGAAACAGCAACTTGACCAAAGTTCTGGATTCCGGGGACTGTCTCAGTCAAAGGACGAACCGCCTCTCATTCACTGTATTCCTTGATTAATAGTCTGAGTAATAATAATTTTTAAAAACACTGCCCAGGGATTGGATCAAGAAGGAGGATTTGTAGTAGTTTTCTTCCTGCAGAAGTTTGTATCAATAGAATTATGTAATGGAATGATCTCTAGTAGTAAATATTCATGCTGATAGAAACTACCTATGCAAGAGTATAGTCATAATAAACATTTTAAATTAATTAAATCATACCAGTTTCATCATTTAGTGCAATTTGTACTTTACAATTTAGGTAGTGTAAAATAATATAAAAGCAGAAAATGCATTTCTATTTCTACATAGTGTCTACGTAGAAAATAAATTATACAACTTGTGGATGGAGACAGGAAGAAAATATGGGGAGACAGAAAGAGAAGGTGTGACAGGTTTTCTTACCTGACATATAACTGTAACCCCTCTTTTATGTCACCTCTACAACAGCAATAAAATATATTTTAAAACAATCTTTAATACAAAGTGATAGAAGTCACTTCCTATCACATACTATTGTACTATTGTTAAGTACTATTGTACTATAGTAACTATTTTAATTATTATTATAGCCCCCCCCTCTCTCCTTAGACAAGGAGAATGTGTGGGCACACAGAGGGAAGGCAGAGATCTATAATTCAAGAGGCGAGTCCTTCATATAGAAAGTGTGTTTGATGGCTCCCTAAGCCAAGACTCCCTGCCCGGAGTTGTGAGAAAATAGATTTGTTTTGTGTGGTGTAAGCTGTCCTGTCTAAGGTATTTGTGATGGTGGCCTGAGTTGATTACTATCATAATTATTTTTTTCCTTAAGAGTGCACTTTTAAGGAACGCTATGATAGACTCAGTGAATTGCTAGCATTTAGTAATTATAAATGGTCTCTGGCTTTCAATGGTTGGATTTATAATTTTCCAGTTTCACCATAGCATGAAAGCAATATGCACTGAAGCACAGTTGAAACTGCGCTTCACATTTTGGATTTGGCTCTTTTCCTGGGCTAGCCATATAGAGTGAGGTACCCCATCATGACTGGGCCAGGGCAGTGAGCTTCACTCCTACCCAGCCACAGGAACACAAGGGGAAATAACCAATATTCTGCAGTGTACTGTGCTGGCAGTGGTTTTTGGATGCAAGTATTCAATAAATTACACAAGATATTTAACACTTTTTTTTTTTTTTGCAGGTTGTGGGGTCTGAACTCTGGGCCTGGGAGCTGTCCTGTCCCTCAGCTCTTTAGCTCAAGGCTAACACTTTACCACTTGAGCCACAGCGCCACTTCTGGATTTTTCTGCTTATGTGGTGCTGAGGAATTGAACCCAGGGCCTCAGGCATGGGAGGCAAGCACTCTACCACTGAGCCACCTTCCAGCCCCTAACACTTTATTTTGAACTAGACTTTGTGTTAGACAATTTTGCCCAATCATATGCTAATGCCAATGTTCTGAGCATATTTAGAATAGGCCAGACTATGTTATTATATAAATCATGACATGATCATGTAAGATGAGGAACAGCTATATTTTTGTATGGTATATATTCACTTTTAAACCTGTATTATGTTATATGTATTGTTGTTTGCTATTCACATAGGTACTATCCTGTATTATTCATTTTTAAATTAAAATTGCAATCTTTCAGTAAGACTGTTTTTAACTGTTTTCAGCCAAGCATGCATTACTCCTGTGAAATCTTTGTAACTTCTGAGATATTCATGGAAAAAAAGGCTCTATTTTCAAAATTTTAAGATGACTTTCTCCCCATCCATTAATTACTTCATTCTTTACATTTACTTGATATTTGGGCCATGTATGCTTCTACACAGCTTTATTTTACCATAGCTTTAATTTCTTTTTCTTTTTTTAAAACCATTTATTAGGAGATTTTGGTATAGCCTCAAGTTCTTTAAAGCTATCATATCATCCACCCATTTAACTTGGAGGTAACCACAGGAAACTACCTTCTTGCTTTATTCTGCTGTGCTTACTCTTGGGCCTTATTATCTATTTTCAACCTGTAGGATTACTCTCATTTTCTCTGAGTTGACGAGGTTGAAATCTAATGGGTATCCTAATTCTATTTAGTTTACATAGTACACTTTTAGAGTGTTCTTTTGCAACTCCCTAAAAAGGAGACCATGTGGGTAAACACATGACTTCGCTTACACTTGAATATTTAGATCAGGTAGGAGACGCTAGGTTAAGACATTATATTGTCTTCTAGAACCCCTTGCTGACCTGAAGACTTGCCTCTGGACTGACTTGGATTCTTTTATAATTAAACTGTTTAATTTTTATTTTATTACCCTTTGTATCCATTCCATATGCTAAGTTGCGATTTGTTTCCTTGGTCTATGAACTTACAGTATTATCTTCCAGAAATGTTCCATCTTTAATTATTTCTTCCTACCTCCTTCTTATGTTTTCCTATCTGAAATCTTTATCAGTTGGATATCTGATGTCTTGAGGTGATTGTCATATCTCTTCTCAGTTGCCTATTCATTTAATCATTTTTTCTAAGTGTTGTTGCCATTGCTGTTTTACATATGGGGAAATATCACTGACTATTAAACTACCCAGTCATTTCATTTTTAGCTCCAGAACTTTCTGAAAGTTTTTGATTGGCTGTGTTTTCAGTTTTTCTGAATCCATCATTTTGATGTTTAAAGTTTTTTTCCCACATTCTATCTTTTTCCTCTGAGAACAGCTTTTCTATAAGTTCTTCTTGATTCCTTATATTTCAGTGATTTTGATATGCCTTGTGATGGTGAATTTTCTATTTCTATTTAGGGAAGAATGACTGTGGGACTCTTCTAAGATTCCTGAGCTGTTTTGTATAGCAATTTCATACCAAATAAGTCTTTGCCTAGAATGAAAATTTCTTCTTAGAGCTCTATGTGGAAAAAAAACAAGAAACATCAACTAAGGAGCTATTGGATCATGACAAGTATCTTGTCATATTGTAGGTGCCAACCTCCCAGATGTTGAACCAAACATTTATTGGGTTCTTTAGGAAAAAAATGTATTTTTCCTTATTGAGAGGTACATGCTAGGCTACCCACTGTTAGGTAAGCAGAGGAGGTAAGAACCATTTCTGGCTTCTACAACAGCATCAGAAACAGATACCTAATGGATTCCTTGGCTTCCAGCCTCTACTTCTTCATTTTTGTCAACTTGCAGATTACCATCCTAGAGCCTTTCAGGTGTGCTAGTCTATTTCTTGTGTCTGCCTCTTCTGTGGATTGTGAGGTATACTTTTTTTTGTCTTTTCCTTACATTAACATACTGCTTTACAGTTTGTTTGTTTCATAAATTAGTTGAAATCTCTCTATTACTATGGCTGTTCATCTTCCTTTGCTCTGCTGTCTTTGGCATGTATATGTGTGTGTGTGTGTGTGTGTGTACTTCAATTTCAGTGGGGTGTTGGGTACATACATATCCAGTCTATAATTGAAGCAGGAGCTCAATATGTAATAACTTAAAACATCCTTACAAAATTTTTCCCCAAGGCATGACACCAATGTGCTGCTTTTCAGTGGAATTTTCTGTGCTGAGAAGCAGGTTCTCTATCTGTGTGGTGCCACATAGAAGCCACTTGCCACATATAGTATCTGAGAAATTGAAAGGCAGCAATATGACTCCAGAGCTAGAAATCATGCCTTCATTTGATTTAAATTAATTTAAATAGTCTCAAGTGACCAGTGAATATCATGTTGGGTAGCTCAACTTTAATGCTTGCATCATCTTACAATAGCCTACTAAAACAAGAGATACAGTATGGTAGTTCTAACAAAAATCTAGATGTAGCCATTAAAGAAATTTAGCAGACACTGTAATTTTTTTTTCTGTAATTATGTGGTTTTTCTCTGGTTATCTAGTCTTGTGTATGATACCAAACATCAAGACAACTGTTAAGAAAAACCCTCAAACCCAAAATATGTGAGTTATACTATTTTATAAACACCATAAGGAAGCATGTGTGTAGTCTTCCAGTTTATATTCAGTTGTCAGCCAACAAGCAGCTGCAAACTACATTTTGAGAAATTAAAAACAACTTATTAAGAGATCCTATACAGGATAAAGAAATTAGCTATTGAGGCTAAGTCCACTTGGACTTCAGGCCCACATTTGCTGCCCACTTTCCGTGTAAGTGGCAAGTTCTTTAGCTTACTTGTGCATCCCATCTTAAAGTATCAAAGGAGGATGACAATCCACACCAATTTGATTTGTAGACTAAATTAATTGAAGTACCTGATATGGGCTGAACAGTAAGATACATTTGAAGTGTTATTTTTCATTTGATATGGCAGTGCAGGAAGTATGCACCAAGAAGATGAGGAAGAGGAAGAGAAAGGAGGAAACATCATTTGTGGGACGCTTTGTGCAACTCTGAGTTTTCCTTCAGAACAATAGATTCATCATCATCAGGATGATCAGTAAGGGTCTTTCATTTGAATGCAATGCTACTTAGAGACATTGTTCGTTGTTTGTTCATCATTTCAAGTGGGTTTCTGTGTTCCCTAGCAGTGCTAGAAATAGAAGGGAAATGGCTTACTAAGAATATAGGACATGCGTGTGTAAGAAGCAAAGAGAATAATTTAGGATCAGATATAAACTCCTTTCATTAACTAATTATGAAACCTGCCTACGATTTTATTTTGTTTTATTTTGTGTTTATTTGTTTTTATTCTTATATTTATTTGTTTTTTAGTCTTATAGGGCTGGGTCTGGGGCTCGCCTCTTTCACAAGTATGGAAGAGGTTCAGCATCACACACACAAAAATAAATATCTACATAAATATATATTATTTTGTAGAAAAACATTTTTGACTTCATGAAAGGGTCACAATAATCTGATTTAGCAAAAAAAGCATGATTTTTTTTAATATTTTCATTACTGTTAACTAATGAGAATGTTAATTTGAACTTCATAGTTATTCATTTACTATTAATGATGCTGACAGTTTGAGAAACAGAATAGTCAATAGGTAATAGCTCTGTCTGCTATTTATTACGTTTCCATATGTATCTAAAATACTAAGTCAAGTCCAAAGATTTATCCCTAATCCCTTGAAGATTTTGGCATAGGCCTCTGTACTGATTTACATGAGGTTAGTAAGTAAATCCTAGATACATGGCAGCACTTTTGAACAAAATCTACTTGTAATGAATGAATATTCTTTAAGAGGGAGAGAGAAAGAGAGAGAGGAAGGGAGGGAATGGAGGGAAGAAGGAAGAAAGGAAAGCAGGAAGGAAGGGGGAGAGGGAGAAAGAAAAAAAGAGGAAGGAGGGAAGGAAGGGAGGAAGGAAGGAAGGAGAGAGAAAGAAGAAAGAAAGAAAGAAAGAAAGAAAGAAAGAAAGAAAGAAAGAAAGAAAGAAAGAAAGAAAGAAAGAAAGAAAGAAAGGAAGAAAGAAAGAAAGAAAGAAAGAAAGAAAGAAGAAAGAAAGATCTAAACAGCAGTATGCTTTTAGTTATAAAAGCTACTTGTTTGCTAGCATACTTTTTGGTGGAATAGATGTTTGGAGATGTCTGAAGTAGATGTTTTGAGTTTTGTTGAGATTCTCCAAGGGTAGAATTTAACCACAGAAAGAGATTACATTTTGCATTCCAATTAGTGTTCCTTAAGATGCAACCTTAAGATGGCAGCTCTTTCCAGTTCCTGCAAAGACAATCTATTCTTTTCTGGTAAAAGGAAAATGAAAGAAAATGAATGACTTGAAGTCAACCCACATGACTTCTGGAAGGAGACCTTTGAGATGGTGAGAACTGAGTTTCCCAGAACTGGCCTTACTACCCTACCCCCATATCCAGATGAGGCATATGTGTTACTTGATGTAGTTGTTGTCATAGAGATGATTTTGTTTGTTAAATAGATGAAATAAATAGTTACAGAAAAACCAGAGAATGTAAACTTCACATGTGTAAATAAATGATTTCCTTTCAAATGCCAAGTTGCCCTCATTCTCTTTATCTTACTTTTAAGCTCTCTCTAATTATACAGACTCTCAGAGTTTTCCCTGAGGATTTTACCCAATTAACATTTGAGTCATGTATTATATGTAAAACATGATGAAAGCATGTAGCAATGAGCTGGATAATCCACGTAGCAGGGAAAATAAAAGGATAGTGATGGTAGCAGGGTGGTAAGATCACAGACTAGAGTGGTTGAACCAGTTTACATTCCCACCAACAGTTTGGTAGCATTCCCTTGTGGCTACATACCAGCCAGCACCTGTTATTTGTTTTCTTGATAATGGCCATTCTAACTCTGGTGAAGTGGAATCTCAATGTAGTTTTGATTTGCATTTCTTTTATGGCCAGAGATGGAAAGCAGTATGGAGGTTTCTCAAAAGACTAAACATAGAGCCCCTCCCGGCCCCCCGCAATGATCCAGCAATCCCACTCCTGGGCATTTACCCAAATAATCACAAACAAGGCCACACTAAAGCTACCAGGACAACTACATTCATTGCGGCATTATTTACCATAGCTAAGATTCAAAACCAACCCACATGCCCCTCAGTAGATAAATGGGTCAAGAAAATATGGTCTATATAAAATATGGTCTATGCTTCCAGCAGAAAGAATGACATTGCCTCACTTGTAAGGAAATGGAAAGACTTGAAAAAAGTCATATTATGTTAAATAAACCAGACCAAAAGCAACATAGGCTACATGGTTTTCCTCATTTGTAATAATTAGTATATGTCTAGGATCACAACAGCTCAACAACTATGTACATATGACAATGTAAAATGGTGCTAATCGAAATGAACTCTAAGATATGAAAATGAGAGAGGTTTGTTTTTGTTTGTTTTTTAATGCACTCTGTGAAGTTATTTCTTTTTTCCTTTTGTGTTTTTTTCCCTTTGGTTTATCCCTTGTTGTCACTGTTGTTTTTTTTATTTTTGTACCCCGTGTCTTGTATATATGTTTATCTGATTTGTCTCACAAAATGGTGAGACAAAGAACAAAGGGTGAACAAATGCAACAGTGATACTGACAAGACACTATGTTGGAAATGAACTTTACAACTTGGAGGGGAGGGGAGTTGAGGGGAGGGAAGGTAGGAGAAAATGAGGAAGCGTGAAACACTGTTCAACAAGAAATGTACTCCTTAACTTACTTATGTAACTGTAACCCCTCTGTATATTGCCTTTACGATAAAATAAGATATTATTAAAATGGGAAAAAGATGACAGACTAGAAGGTTCTAGATGCCAAAGTTATTTTCAGTGTCATAGATGAAAATAAATCTACTTTAATGGATTTCCATCATAACCTAGACAGCAAAGCTGTAGAAAATGTTACAAATTGGGAACCCCAAATAGAAAAGTTGGTTGAAGTGAAACATGCTCATCATTTTACACTTGTCTTCTCTTTAACTGAGACAATTTTGATGACTAGAATACAATGTCATTCTTCGTTAGGGTTTCCTTAATCCACTTTCCTTGGGCCATCTCTGTGGTTAACTATATTAATCTTCTGTTTTGATTACAAATAGCATTATTACAGGTCTGCTCACAATCTCTTGGACAACATTTCTTAAATGTTGTTTAACATGTAAACAACACTGGATTACCAAACTCAACAATTAGTGCTAGCCATTAATACCTGGAGAAAGCACAGATAATGAGAAAGGGCTCTTCAAACAGTGGACAGGTCTTCCTGCCAACCTCTGTGCTTCTCTGTGATCTATTGCAGTTTTCAGGTAAACCAAGGAACTCATGATGCTCTTACCAAGATTTTGTCCAATTCCGTGGCTCAGTAACAATCGCAAATAAAGCAATGACAACCCAATATCTTAAAAAAAAAAAAGTAAGTTCCTACTTAGTGAGAGTCCAGCTCTGTTTCTGAATGTTACTTAAGAATAAAGAGAGATTTACTCAGAGACACTGTTAGAGGGAATGAATTATAATGCCTTTCTAGATTCCCACAATCATTTTTTCCTGATTGTTTTCTCTATAAAAAAAAATCATTAGCATACCTACAAAGGTTCATGAAATCGAGACGCAATCAAGTAGAGAAATAAACAAACCTCTCAAAATGCCCTTTGCCACAATGGGTAATGATGTAAGTCCTCTGAGCCACTTAATATCATCCCAGCTGATAGATGGGTCTATTATTTTTGCTACATATGCAGCAAGTCCACTGGTTTCTCCAAAATTTTCAGTGGGAGAAAAGGACAAATCATTGGCTTCAAAATTTTTCATCCTGAAAGAAGAGATCTAAAATTAGAAAAATGCTAAATGAGAGATACCTTTACTGTGACTGATTCAGTAAAGAAAAAGGGGTGGGTGGAATTAAAGATAACTTTACTATGATTGATTGATTCGATAAACAAAAAAAGAGAAAAGAAATGAACCATTGCAAATTACTTGGATCTTCTTACAGGTTAGTTATATATATTTATGTTTTTCATGTTTTGTTGTAGGACTGTATACAGGAGAATCCAGTGGGTTTATTTTCCACTTGTGTGTTCACGTGAACAAATCAGCTTTAAAGAAATATAATATAACCAGGATCAAAGTGTCCTGTTTAAACCAGTTTATTGATACACACAATAGACTTGATGCTATTTTCAGCTAGCAGTGCACAATAATCCTAGCAAACAACAAAAATTTTAAAAAAAATCTGCATGGTTTTTATAATTTACACAGGGCTTTATATGTTCAAATTTTCACATTCTTTAAAAATAAAAACTATTAGAAAGTAAAGTTGATTCTGTATGATCCCATTTTATAGAGGAAACAAAAAAAAGCTCAATAATACAGAAGGAGATGTCTTAAGAATAAAACTAGTTAATAGTAGCATTTGGGTTTCAAACTGGGTCTCTTGACTTGATTTCTAATCATGTTCTCCTTGCTTAGATCAGTGCCACTTGGCTATGGCACCTGAGATAACCTGGAAGTCTCCCAATGACCTTGGAGACTTTCCTAGAGGAGGTTGGCACTACAGTTATATGTGTTGATATCCTCCTATCTATTTCCCCTGTTGACTCTGTAACCTGCCCTGTTATTGTAGTGGAGACAGTAGGCTTGGGGAATAGGAAATGTTTCCCAGAAGACCACTTTTGTCTTTCCCTCCTTGATTTCGTTGTTGTTTCTGGGGCTCTCTGGCTGATAACTTTGACAAGGGCATATGCTTTACAGTGATCAGCACCTTCACTTTACTGCTTACAGGGTTTTGTTCTTGTTGCTCGGGTCTCCCCATCATGCAGCAGATGTTGGAGTGTAAATACTCTGGATTTTAAACCCTTCTGAGATGAAGTCTGTGTGTGTCTGAGAATGATCCAGTGGCTGCCTTGATAATCTTCTCCTCTGTGTTTCACTACTTGTTATCCCTTGTCCCTTGACCCCACACTTCTAACCATAGTCCGATACTTTTCCCATGAACTACTGGCAATAAAGTCACTGGCTCACAGTGCCTTGCAGAGAACCTAACCTGAGATATACTATCATTGAGCTGAGGTCTAATTTTTTTTTTTTTGTGGTCAGTCGTGGAGCCTGAACTCTGGGTCTAGGCACTGTCCCTCAGCTCTTCAGCTCAAGGCTACTGCTCTACCACTTGAGCCACAGCACCATTTCTGGCTTTTTTCTGCTTATGTGGTGCTGAGGAATCAAACCCAGGGCCTCATGCATGGGAGGCAAGCACTCTACCACTGAGCCACCTTCCCAGCCCCTGAGGTCTAATTTTGTTAACCTAATTTAGTCCAGTGTTCCTCTAACTTACCTGTAAGATCACCGTGAGCTTGTCCTATATACTTGAAGTACTTTCCCTTGGCCTAATACCCTCATACATAGCCTGATTAGACTTAGACCATTTCCCCAAATTAAGGGCAAAGACTTTTCTCTCTGCAATTCTAACCACTAAGTAAACAGATGGCCATCAGGATGTGGGATGTCACCATTCACTGACAGTTACCCACAGCCCCAGACAGATCCAGTTAGAAACTTTACCCTGAAAGACTACAGTTGAATAATCACATTGACCTGGATTCCCCTTGCTCTTCAGGATATTATAAATCACCCTGATAGCTAGCTATTTCTTCTCTTTGTGGGGTATATGCTATAAGTAGATGTACAAATGGATCTCCCAGTTATTTTGTCCCCTCCCCGTCCCCCCCCCCCCCCACCGAGTTCTACCACTAGATACAGAAAAGATCTTGAAGTCCTGACTGTACGAACGCGTTGTGCAGGAACCTACTGGAATCAAGGCACAATATTTTAAAATTACTTTTTAAACAATCCTTAAAAACAAAATTATATCTGATGCTTTCAGCCTTGTAATGTATTTCAGTTACAAATAACTGGCAATGTCACTGGTGAATGGGGAATACGTTTTAATATAGAAATGAACATTCTGCCCCATAAAATGTAATTTAAGCCTTTGAAATAAATGTCAGTCTTTTCAATAAGATTGAATAAATTGGTAATATACTATACTGGAAGAAAATATTATTAAAATAATTTGGGAGTTGTATGGATAGCCATACAGCTTTAGTAGCAATTTCTTTTTTCTGACAGATTTGGAAGTTTCTCTTTGAGTCACTTAGAGGTGTATACTTTATAATCTTTGGTCTTTTGTAGTTATCCTAACTTGAATTGAATTAAATCTTCTATTTAATAAGCATGCTCTTATAATAGGAACCTATCCTGTTACTTACAAATGATATAAAGTGATTTTAAATTCCAAATTTTAAAATGAAGAAGAAGAAGAAGAAGGAGAAGAAGAAGGAGAAGAAGGAGAAGAAGGAGAAGAAGGAGGAGGAGGAGAAGAAGAAGAAGAAGAAGAAGAAGAAGAAGAAGAAGAAGAAGAAGAAGAAGAAGAAGAAGAAGAAGAAGAAGAAGAAGAAGAAGAAGAAGAAGAAGAAGAAGAAGAAGAAGAAGAAGAAGAAGAAGAAGAAGACGAAGAAGACGAAGAAGAAGAAAGAAGAAGAAGAAGAAGAAGAAGAAGAAGAAGAAGAAGAAGAAGAAGAAGAAGAAGAAGAAGAAGAAGAAGAAGAAGAAGAAGAAGAAGAAGAAGAAGAAGAAGAAGAAGAAGAAGAAGAAGAAGAAGAAGAAGAAGAAGAAGAAGAAGAAGAAGAAGAAGAAGAAGAAGAAGAAGAAGAAGAAAGAAGAAGAAGAAGTGTGTATATGAATATACGCTGCATGGCATACACCCCCCCCCCCCCCATCCCAAACAAGCTTCAGTGTTTCAGCAGGGGTGGAGTGAAAGGGTGAAATGGATAGGAAAAAACAGAAACACGGATAAAATTATATAAATAACTGTTGTTATTCTTGGATGGTGAAATGCAGATCAACACTTGAATGAATGTTGCCTTACAGAAATCTTAGTGCACAATGAAGCCTTGTTGTGACTCTCAAACTTTGTTCAAAGCCAGAAGCCAAGAAAATGTTTTCAGATATCTTGACAGAGACCCCCGATGGAGTGTTTTACCAATGGCTCCAAGAGAAACCACCATAAATGCTATTTTTATTCAGATTATGACATGAATGCTTAAAAAAACGCTTAAGGCAGCTTCTGATAACCAAAGTGTTTTGTAAGGAAGGAAAGGGGTAACATCAAAACAATAACATGATTATTTAGGCCTTCATTTTCTGAAATCAATCTGTTAAATGACATAAAGACAGGAGGTAAGAATTTTTCTTTGTAAGGTCATCATGGTGCCTTGAATAGTCCTTATTATACCTTTTATTGATCTAATGAAGAAATTACTTTAGCTTTTAGTAAGTTAGTATTGAGACAATAATATCAACTACTAGTAAGTACTACTAGTAGTTTATATTATAATGAGAAATGTTATGTGAAAGCTAACAGTAACACCAATATTCATGAGTATTATGAAATAATAGGTTATTATTTCAAATATTCATAATATCATATTAAAGGTAAAACCACATATCTATATTGAGAAACCATGAAGGCAAATAAAATTAGGTAACAGAATAAAAAAAAAAACCAATGCTCACAATGCCAATTTAGTAGGAAGAAAAAGATTAAGAGAGAAGTTTGTAATCTATGTAGGACAGGTACCAGCCACTAGCCTTTCATCCCAAGGTTAAGAATACACTTAAGGCAGGGTAGTTGTAATCCTAGCTACTCTGGAAGCAGAGATTTGAAGATCATGGTTCCATGATAGCCCCATTAACCTCCAGTTAACCAGAAAAGAGCCAGAAGTAGAGCTCTGGTTCAAGTTGTAGAGTGCTAGCCTTGAGCAAAACAGCTCAGAGACAGCCACCTAGGCCCTGGGTTCAAGCCCAAGACTGGCGTACACACATAGCCACACACAGACACACACAGACACCGACACACACACACACACACACACACACAGTTTACTGGGCACCAGTGGCTCACATCTATAATCCTATGATTCTGAGATCTGAGGATTGCTGTTAAAGCCAGCCAGTACAGGAAAGTCTGTGAGACTCTTATCAATAAACTACCCCCCAAAAAAGCCAGAAGTGGAGCTGTGGCTCAAATGGTAGAGTGATAGCTTCGAGCATAAAAAGACTCAGGGACAGTGCTCAGGCCCTGACGTAAAGCCCCAGGACCAGCAAAAACAAAACAAAAACAACAAACAAAAAATCCCACCTATGTTCAGAACATAGCACAAGTCATTTCTTCCTTAATGTGTAATTAAAATTTAGGCTAAGGGCATACATTTCAACTTCTTCCTAATTATACCAGGAAAAGTCACAGAATGCCTAGAATAATTTTATTTACTGACTCAACAGCTATATACTGAGAACTTACATGTGCTTGTGTTTTAGATATTTAGGATTTCTACATTGTCTATGTAAATAAGATGCTCAATCAAGATGATAGACATCTTACTCATGATAAGCATAATCAATATATAAATTATAGAATATGTTGATGATAAATACTATACAGATTTTTTAAGATGAAGCAGAATTAGATAGGCATGAGCTGGTAGAGGCTCAAGTTAAAAATTTAGATATAAGGATATCAGGGCTGATCTCATCGCAAGGCTACTTTAAGAAGGAAATCAATAGTGTGATGGCTTCAAAAAAAAATCACTGCCATAACAAAGAACCACAAATGAAGCGTTTTAAATACCACAAATTCATTAGATTATAGTTCTGAAGTTCAGAAATCCAAAAGGAATTTCAGTGGACTAAACTTCAAGGTTCAGGTAGGCCATCTTTCCTTCTGGAGGCAGTATAGAAAGACCCATGCCTATGTCATTTTCTAGCTATAGAAACTACCTGCTTTCCTTGTTTTCTGGCCACATCACTCCAACCTCTGCTTCAAACATCTCATCTCTTTCTCATTCTGACATTCATATCTCTATGTGAAGGACCCTATAGTCAGTTCCCTAAGATAAACAGGATCATCTCCCCATCTCAGTGTTCTTGACATAATCAAACGTAAAAACTCCATTTTGCCAGGGATGAGGATGTAGATACTTTTAGCTAACAACACTTATCAATGAAAAATGTCTTATTAATCATGATTGACCTTGATCTTCATCAACAATCAGAAATTACTTTCTTCCCTTGGAATTGCCTAGCATGTCATGGAAATGCCAAATCTTAACCTAGGGTAAGTGAATCATCTCCCCGGGGCAGGGACAAACCAAAAGGCCCCTGCAACCAAACTCCAAGAATCAAGCAGTAAACAGATTTCATTCCTTACTGCTTTCAGAGCACAAAATTCTCCCTCACTTCTCAGTTTCAAAAACCTCCGTGCTGTTTATCATGTGTACACATATATGTGTTTTCCATATAAACCAAGTAGAAATTGCCAGACCCATGAACTCTTGCTGTTTCCTACATGCTGGGATCCTCCCCTTCTACCCCAGGCAGAGGAAGTAGCAAGGGATGAAGGGAGCCAGGTTTAACCAACTCATTCTCTTCTGGATTTCCTGACTCCCTGGCCTGCCAAACCTCACTTCTGAAAAGCCAGGCTTCTCCTTCTATGAGGCTGGTTAACTGCAGAAAGAAACTGATTTCACATCAGACTGTAATGGATAAGCTCTTTGGGGTGTATGTGGCCTCAAGAACCCTTGATCTACGATCAGTATGTTTTGCTTTCAGAAGTTGACCAGCAGGTATTGGCCTGCTCTGAAGACCATCTGAACTACGTTAGCAGATGCTATAGGGCTGGGTGCCCCCTGCTGTAGGGTGTTTCCCTTGTTCCCCACAACCTGGATGTGTTGCTTATTATTTGATCATCTTCAGACAGGAGCTGTGACAAGCTAGGAGCCACAGCCATTTCTGTGTACACAGGCAGCTGAAAAGGGCCTTTCTTTCTTGCCCGGCCCTTCTCGTCATCTGGGCAGAAGCCCAGTAGCAAAGGAAAAGGGAGAGGAAAATCCACCTTCCCACTCCTCACTGAGTGGCTTCAGCCCTAAGGAGCAAGAAGTGTGGGCCAGAATTAACAACTGTGTCATCTCTTCCTTCTAATTCCGTACCTTTTCACAACACGTATTGCTACCCAGACCAAGAAAATGGTTCTTTTTCACTCAACACTGGTGCTCTACCACTTGAGCCACAGCTCCATTTCTGGCTCTTGGTGGTTAATTAGTAATGTCTACTGGACTTTTCTCCTAAACTGACTTTGAAATTTGATCCTCAGATTACAGCTTCTGGGAAGAAAGTGTCTTTTAAGCTGCAAAGAAAAAATAAAACAAGAAACAAATCCTGCTACACCACATATTATTATTATTATTGGAATCATAGTATTAAGGGAGGGGAAAAATTACTAGCAAATTCCTTTCAAATAGCCAAAGGGAGAAAAATGCTAAGTCAGTAGTAAATTAATGATTTTAGAAGATATTAAAAACAGTAATAAAAAGAGATATTATTTTAAAAATTACACTATTTTAAAGAAAGTTGAAGTCACCTGCTTTCTGATGAATTTGGCAATGAACAGGAATGTGTCAGAGCCTTTGATGTGTGTGTGTGTGTGTGTGTGTGTGTGTGTGTGTGTGTGTATGTGTGTGTGTTTTTCTTTATAAATAGGGTAACCCTGCATCTGAAATACATGGAGCAGTTTTATTGGTAAGTCTGACATGAAGATTATTTTCTGTCATTGGCCTACTGCAGGTACAGCATACAGAAATCATATGTTAAGCTTGCTGAACATATAAAGGAGTAATATCACCCATCTCATTTACAAAGGTTCAATGACAAGATTTTATGCATATATATATATATTCCATTAAATAACAAGTTTTATGGTACTTAAATAAGAATATTTATGGACTTGTGACTTTTTTGCCAGTCCTGTGGCTTGAACTTAGGGCCTGAGCACTGTCCCTGAGCTTCTTTTGCTCAAGGCTAGCACTCTTCCACTTGAACCACAGTGACACTTCTGGCTTTTTCTGTTTATGTGGTACTGAGGAATTAAACCCAGAACTTCATGCATGCTTGGCAAGCACTCTACCACTGAGCTACATTCCCAGCCCTGACTTGTAACTTTTCATAGTTGAGACACACTCAATTCTGACTATTAACTCAATTCTGACTATTAAACATATAAAATCCCTGGTTTCAAAGAACCTTTTTGTCCTTACCTGGAAAGCTGATTTTATTTTGGACCTGTTAGCATTAGAGTCTTTAGAAAGAGTAAACAGCTTACATGCAGCTTCTTTTGTTTTCAGGCTTTTTTCTTTCTAGTGCGAGGATAGGCAGAAATATAATTCAAGTGTAGGCAGAGTAAGCAATGGTCACTGTGAAATGAAGTCTAGATTCTTCAGCAGGAATGTCTCCATTGACAGTGAAAGTTAAGACTAGTATCGGTGGCTCATACCTGCAACCCAAGCTATTCAGGAGCATGAGATCTGAGGATTGCAGTTTGAAGCTGGTCTCAAAAGAAAAGTCCATGAGATTTTTTTTTTTTATCATGAATTAACCAGTATGGATGTGTGGCTAGATTGGTAGAATGCCTATTATGAGCAAGAAAGCCAAGTAAGAGCTGGAGGACCTGAGTTCAAGTCCCATTACTGGCATCAAATAAGTAAATAAAAGCTAACATTAAAAAATTTGTAGCAACCGGGCACCAGTGGCTCATGCCTGTAATCCTAGCTACTCAGGAGGCTGAAATATGAGGATCATGGTTCAAAGCCAGACCGGGCAGCAAAGTCCTTGAGACTCTTATCTCCAATAAATCACTACAAAACCAGAAGTAACGCTGTGGCTCAAGTGGTAGAGCACTGGCCTTGAGCTGAAGAGCACAGGGACAGCACCCAGGCCCAGAGTTCAAGCCCCACAACCAACAAAAAAAAAATCTATGTATGTATGTATGTATGTATCTATCTATCTATCTATCGTAGTTCTTGTGCTCATTTTATAGCTTAGATCTGTGACATCCACAAAGTGTTATTTGCTGGAAATTGCAGGACTCTTTATTAATGACACTATTTCTCAACCCCAGAACCTCTCATTATTTTTCACCAATACTTTGAGACTAATAATTTTGCAGAGATCTAATTCCCCAGGAAAAGTACTTCGGAAGCTAGAGAAAGTCTTTGGAGTTGGCTTATGAAATTAGAGAATTGGCAAAGCATCTCAGAAACTTTATGCTCATGGTTACCTGAGGTGGGGTGGCAGCTTGAACCTGTTGCGTACATCATCAAAGCGATTGCCTAAATAAGGGGTATCCACAGTCACAAATATGGCTTTGTACCCCATCTTCTCAGCTCGCTTCACTAGCTGGGTAGTGAGCTCACGGTCTTTGTAAATATATAGTTGAAACCAGCGAAGTGCCTTGGGTCCAGCCTCAGCCACTTCTTCAATTGTGGAGGTAGCCCATGAACTCAGCATCATGCCGGTTCCCAGGGTCTGACAGGCTGCAAAAGAAAGGCATATGATCAAGTAGGCCTGATCATTAACCCCTTCAAAGTCTTCAACTTGTAGATCTAAGTCCTCTGAAAGGTTCTTGCATGGTGTCGTAGAAAATGACAAGGGCTAAATCATAACTATCCATAACTGACTATGTGATTCCAGGTGATTGGGCCTATCTGAGGGTTCACCTTGTATCAGTTTGGGTTAAGCACATTTGTCTTCTTCGTGCTTATAGGGTAATGAAGAGAATCAAGTAAGATACTGTTTATACAACTATACTGAGAGGTGAAAAATCTTTCCTGCTTTTCAAGTGTCAGTCCTCTCTTGGAGGGCTATGGAAATGGATTGCTGCTTCCCACCCACATTTGCTATCTCACATAGGGCCAAGATGGAGCCTGAGAATGATCTTTTTTAGTTTCAAGAGGATGCTGCCACTGCTGCTAGTGGATTGTACTTTGACAATTAGCATCAGCAACAGCAGATAATAACAGTAACATGATGGACATGTGTAGGTTGTTGTTTTGTTACTCTTCCCTGGCCTTTGGGTATATTTTAATCCATGTTCCAGGTCAATGGACACATTCAAATCCTGTGAGCTGGAGACTGCTATGTGACACAGGGCATACAAACTTGCACCCAAACCCCAGGGGTTTCATTGAGAATTCCCATCATGATCTCTCATGACTTGCAAAATATTATACAATAAAATGAACATTTTTATTAAGTCCTGACACATCTGGATCATTGTCTGATTTTCATCCAGTTTATAAATATGGAAATAGCATCAGAGCAGAATGACTGTTTGGATCAGAATCTCCTAACCAACATCAATTTAGTGCAAAGAAATTACATCCTGGAGAGGATGTGACCTAATGAAAGCCACACAGAGTAGGGCAGAAAAGTGGGATTAAAATCCCAACATGTCTGACCACTCATCCAGTACAATTCTCATTCTAGACTTCCCAGATGTCCACAGACTCTTTGGTACCAAGCAGAGATAAATACACTTCCTAAATATTTCAGCCTTCTCCAAAAGAGTAGGCTGGCCATGGGCCTGAGGGATATTACCACAACAACCACTCTGGAAAAGCATGGAATCTTGGAATCCAGGGGGAAGGTTGACCACAACTTGTGGGTGAAGAGGGATTTTTCAAAGTGATCCAGCAAAGCAGACCACTAAGACAGGACATCTTTTTGTAGTTAACATAGAAACTGTCATTCAAGCTTTACAGCTTTGTCAATAGGGACTTCAGAATCCACACACACACACATGCACACAAAGATTTTCTTAACTCCAAAAGAAATACCTGAAGTCATTCAGCAGAGATTGTCTTGATGCTAGCAAGCAATAAGAAAATCTACACCACTTGAATCATCTAATGTGTATAGTGTCAGCCTTCACAAACATTTTACCCAAATCACTTTGTATGGATTTCCAAAGAGAAAGACTATCTTTCTCTCTCTGAGCTCTTAGAATCATTGCTTCTCTATTTATGTTCCAATGATCAATGCATAAGGGACTGAAATTTGAATCAAGATCTCCCCAAATTCTATGTTACCATTGTTTTCGGTTGTAGGTGTTCAACATATATTAGTGGTCTAGTAAAATTATTTCAAAAGAGTCTCTTGCAGGGAATACAAAGAATATTGTCTTGCTGATGCAGTATCTGTTGAGGCAAAGCTATTACTCTTCAATTAAACAGAGAAACAATCCAGGCCTTCTATAATAATGCCTAAACATTTCTCCCTCTTTTGAAGTGCTGGAGATCAAATTTAGGATAGTGCTCTACCACTAAGCTATAACCTCAGTTCAAGAACAAACATGGAAATATTCAGTGATCTAGATTTATTCACACTTAAAAGAATATATTTTGCTTTTGTTTCTTTCTTTTTTTGTCAGTCATGGGGCCTGAACTCTGGGCCTGGGCACTGTCCCTCAGCTCTTCAGCTCAAGGCTATTGCTCTACCACTTGAGCCACAGCGCCACTTCTGGCTTTTTCTGCTTATGTGTTTCTGAGGAATTGAACACAGGTCCTCATGCATGCAAGGCAAGTGCTCTATCACTGAACCACCTTTTTTTTCTGTCAGTCATGGGGCTTGGATTCTAGGCCTGGGCACTGACCCTGAGCTTTTCAGCTCAAGGCTAGCACTCTACCACTTGAGCTACAATGTCACTTCTAGTTTTTGAGTGGTTAATTGGATATAAGAGTCTCATGGGGACTTTCCTGCCTGGGCTGGCTTTGAACTGTGATCTTCAGGCCTCAGCCTCATGAGTAGCTAGAATTACAGGCATAAGCCACTGGTAATAATGCCATTTCTATAAGGAAAGTACATAGCAAATATGCACAGATACATACACACCCATACATACACATAGAAAGTGCACAGGAAATATGTGTACATGTGCACGCGAGCGCACGTACACACACACACACGCACGCACACACGCACTCACACACGCACGCACACACGCACTCACACACGCACGCACACACGCACGCACACTGCACGGAAAAAGGACACTAGCAAGGTCATAGCCATAGAAGCATCAAAGATAAAGCTACACATACAACTAGGAGGCAAGACTGGAATCTCAGAATGGAGATGGGGTATAAGAGTTTGAGTAGGCTGCAAGCCTTTCCACCAATGAGGCACATTCTATCCACAAAAGGCCATAAGTACAACTAACCTGCCTGCCTCAGAGCATTGCTGAATGGTCCATGGTGACAAGGTAAGTGAACATTTTCTGTATAAACTCAGAAGTCATGTAACCATAAGGGATTGGATGTAAGAATACCTAAGAAAGACTTTGAGAAAAAAGAAGTACAAGAAAGCTTCTTAATTTTGCCAAAGATTTGGATGTCTTAACATCATTCTACACCAATCTTTTCTTTAGTCAATTTCCCTTTACAATGCTTCTTTGTGCCTTTAAATGTATTAATTTATTGACACATTTTAACCAATAATAAGCATGTGAATTTTACCATTCTTCCTACTAACTTTTCATAACCACCTTCCTGCTTTATGAGATTGTTTTTAGATTTAATATGAGATCACATAGTAAGAGTTTTTATGTGCTCAGACCTTATCACTTAATATAGTTGTCACCCAAAACTTCGAAAGCTTAAAAAAAGGAAATTAAAGCAGATTTAAGGTAGTGGAAAAACCTCCCATGCTCCTGGATTGGGGGGATTAACATCGTGAAAAATGGCAATACTGCCCAAAGCTATCAACAAATTCAGTGCAATATCCCAACAATATTCCTTAATGAAATAGAAAAAGCAATCCAAAAATTCTATTCCTATTCATAATAAAAGACCTTGAATAATGAAAACCATCCTTAGCAGGAAAAACAGTGCTGGAGGAATATCAATACCAAACTTCAAACTAGGTTGGGAATATGTGGTAAGATTCTGTAATAACCTGGTATAAGGTAAGTGTGGTTCTCCATCCCCAGACCCCATTTAGTAGAGGGTTAGCTAGGCTGCCTATACTATGGACTCTGTTATCAACGCATTGGGTTATCAGCTCCTAGCAGATATGAATGTAGCAACGACTGAGTTCATGTGTGTCTTGAACTACAACGAACAGTGATGAGAATGGGAGATCACAGGCAATAGCTCAGCAAAACCAAATGAACTGGAAGTATTCTTGCCTGGGGCCAAGAAACACAATTGTGCTGATTTGAGCAGTTTGTGTATTTATCTATCATCAAGCCTCCATGGAAACTTATTTCTGGTCCAGGTAATCTAAATATAGAAAAATGAAGCTAGGAAACTTATTGTGTGCTTGAATTTTAGGGAGTTGGATACTAAATCTGTCCATGCTAGAGTTTTGGTTGAAAAGTGGTCTGAAGCCTCTCCCCCTCTCTCTAGTTGAAAAATACTCTGAAGGCCTCTGTCTGTCTGACTCTGTCTGTCTCTGTCTGTCTCTGTCTCTCTCTCTCTCACACACATTTAGAGTTAGTTTCTTCTTGCTCCTTTCAGGGAATTGTATTGAAATCTTTAGGCTCTCAGAGGAAGCAGGGGACCTTCAAGTAGAGCATCATCTCCATGTTGTATCTAGTACTGTTTTCTTGTCCATGAGTTTAAACTCTGCCTTTGACCAGGAACCACTAGGACTTATGTTCTGTATGGTACTATTCAACTTCTGATGTGCTCAGGAATCATTTGGAGTTCCTGGGGAAATATAGGCCTTGATGAGTTGGTCTGTAGTGAGACCTAGGATTGTGCATTGCTTAAAAACTGCTGAGTAAGGTCAAAGCAATTGACTATGAAGCATTCTTGACAGGAGTGGAGTCAATATTTTTTTTTCCATATGGACTCATCTAACTTAATGGTTTATCTGTGAGGATCCTCCAAAAATAGGGCCTTAAAAATGAGAGGGAGGGTATGTGCCGGTGGCTCACACCTGTAATCCTAGCTACTCAGGTGGCTGAGATCTGTAGTTTGTGATTCAAAGCCAACCCAGGCAGAAGAGTCTATGAGACTCTTATCTCCAATAAACTACTCAGAAAAAGCAGGAAGTGGCCCTGTGGTTTAAGTGATAGAGGGCTAGCCTTGAGCATAAGGAGACTCAGGGACAGTGCCCAGGCTCTGAGTTCAAACTCTGGGTCTGGCAAAAAAAAAAAAAAAAGAGGAAGAACTATTGGTGGTAGAGTAGGCAATGGCTGTCATATGGTTTTCCAGCTGTCAGTTGTGCTCCTCTGATAAATCTGCCTTTCTTCTACAGCCCTCCCCCTCTGGAGAAGAGCATACACTCATGTGCCCCATTTGCTCATACATTAAACTATGGCTAGTTGTAATATCAAGGAACAAACTCCTTGAGAATGACATCTCCTCTCCGCACACTCATCTACCATCAGGTGTGTGATATAAACTTACTTATCCATAGATTTCAGATTGTAAGGAAAAATAAATAGCCAGATTGAAGGAAGATGTCAGAAGATGGGTCAGAAAGGAGGGAAGTTATTCAAAGCAAAGAATGCACTTGAGTGATTACAAAA